GAAATAGAGAGAGAGAGAGAGATAGATAGAGAGAGAGAGAGAGAGGGGGAGGGAGGGGGAGTCAGAGGTGGAGAGATAAAGTTACATACAAAGACGCAAACGTAGTTGCACACACACACAAACACACACACACACACACACACACATATATATATATATATATATATATATATATATATATATATATATATATATATATATATATACACACACAAACACACATACACATATATATATACACACAAACACAAACAAACAAACACACACATATATATACACACACACACAAACACACACACACATATATATATATATATATATATATATATATATATATATATATATATATATATATATATATATATTTACACACACACACATACACACGCATAACCAGACATAGGCATGGATGCCTATGTGCAGGCGTATTTACATACATAGGTATAAACACACACATGCGTGTGGCTACACACGCTTACACAGACAACTAAACACACGCAGTGTAATAATTACTAGTCTGAGCAGAAACACCACAACTGTCGGTCTGTCTTTCAGACTAGTAATGATAGCAATCTGGAGATTTGTTGACGTCAGTTGTCCTTGTGTGTTTATGTTCTATCGATTCTCTCTTTTACCCATAATTTCCTATATTTAACAGATCAGTCCAGATCTTGTATCTCGTGTCTGCGAAAGAACTCGTTTTTGCTCGGGTGGCTTTGGAAAGTTTGTTGAGCGCTTTGTCATCTGCACTTAGCCTTAAAAGGGAAGCTCACTCGTTGTTTTGTGGTTTACAGCAAGACTGCGATATTGCACCTCTACGTCCAACACATCCAATTTCAGTAAGTTGTTCGTCGCCTGTTTTAAAAAAAAAAGATTAGTTGCGGATCCTTACAGGACATCTCAGAACCAACTCCAGCATTTATTGGCTGTTGTGGTGTTGCTAGGCAAATTTTACGTTCAGTAGTTTGCCATTGCCTTCTAAACGGTCAGCTTTCAGTACCACTGTCGAAACCAGCGCAAAACAAATCGTCTGCAGCAGGAATCGAACCCGGCACCCTGGCATTAAAAGGAGCGCTCGCAGTGTCTAAGCATAGAAGTCACCGCTTACGACATGCTTATTAGCGGTCAGTTGATCTACTCTTTTTGTTCGCCCAAAATGGGGCCCCAAACCCACACGTGGGATTGATGGCGCATTCTCTGGAACACGGTATGTTAAAGAAGCCTTAAGACCACATCACTCACCGATTGCACAGAAAGGACCACAACTCGGATGAGAACCACCCAGGTACAAGTCCCAGAAAACCCGTTTAACAGTTAGATTATATTAGCCCCCCCCCCCCCCCTTTCCCCCCTTTCCCGATCACAGCCGGACTGGAGCTTAAAAATAACGAAAAATTCGGTCCTATATTGGGACGACTGTAGACAATCAGATGCAGTAAAGCAAACCAAGTATTGGGACAGCTAGCCCCCCTATTACAGCATAAGACAATCCCAATCAGCACAAAGAGACATCTTATTCAAAGCATATTTATACCAACTCTGTGCTACCAGTGCCAGACATGGTCACTCACAACAAACCATAAAAGAAAATTAGTAACCACGGGAATGAGATGTCTGAGAAGGGCTGTAGGAGTGACCATAAGAGATAAGATCAGGAATGAGATCATAAGAGAACAAGTCGGCACAGAGCCAATTCTGGATTACATACAAAGACAGCAAGTGAAATGGTTTGTCCACTTAGAGAGAATGCCTTGTGACACCATACCATACAAAGCATATATGGAAAGAGAAGAAGGACGTAGAGTACGGGGTAGACCAAGAACAAGATGGAAGGATAACATCAGAAAAACTCTACAACAGCACGATGCGCCTATGGTCGAGGCAGTCAGAAGAACTAGAAACAGAACCTTATATCTCCCTCGACACCCACAGCGGTAAAAGAGGAAGTGAAGAAGAAGAAGAAGAAGTAGACAATCACTGGGACCCAGCATTGACGATATACCAGACAACGTGACCTCACTCCAAAGATCGGCATTGAAGTGAACCCTACAGCTGACACTTCATAACATAAGTAAATACCAGAAGACGGCCATCACACACTGGACAAAAAATGACATTTATTCAGCGGCGCGACAGAAGAAGCCGGTCCCACAACACTGTTGGTGCCACTAATGAATTATTCACATCTGTCCAACAGCAAACTGCCCGCAACAGCTTTTGGGACCTCTGTTTGCTGTGCTAATGCCAGACTGGCAGCCTTTTGCGTGAACTGTCCCTTTGCATTCTCTACCTGATTTAGTCAGGGATGCGATCGATTAGAATTACCAGTTTGGTGTTACAATAGAGAATAAGGAGTGGGATGGACGGTTGTTTCCAAAGCACATTTATTGAAGAATAAGGAAGGGGGTTGATAAATATTTTCACTGTATATTTATTTAAAAAAATAATGTGAAAGACACATGATTATTTCCACTGCATATTTATTACAGAATAAGAAGAGAGACGCGTTTATTGAAGAATAACGAGAAAAGCGAATAGTTATTTCCATTGTACAGTTATTGAAGAATAACGAGAAAAGCCAATGGTTATTTTCACTGCAAATTTATTGAAGAATAAGGAGAGAGACAAATGGTTATTTCCACTGCACATTTATTGAAGAATAACGAGATGGACGTATGGTAGTAGCAGTACATTTTACCCCACTATGACATCACAAAAGAGATAAACACTCGATAACACAAAGTGCCACCGTGTGGATAAGGATCACCCGTGGAGAGGTCCCGGAAACCGCGTTCAGCTATTAGACCATTTTTATGGCCGGGCTATATTGAGGCCCCTGGCAAGAGCCAGGGTAGGGCTTCAAAATAAAGAAAAATTGCATTACACTAGGAGATGACTAGTTTATGTATTGGATGGATTTTTATTTCCACTGCACATTTATGGAAGAATAAGGAGAGAGAAAAATGGTTATTTCCTCTGCACATTTTTGGAAGAATAAGGAAAGAGAAGTATCGTTATTCCCACTGCACATTTATGAACGAATAAGGTGGGAGAATAATGGTTATCTCTACTGCACATATACTAAATAAAAATAAGGAAAACGAGTCGTTTTTCCTCTGTCCACTTATTGAAGAATAAAAAGGTAGATGAATGACTTTTTCCTCTGCCAATTTGTTAAAGAATAAGAGGATAGATGACTGGTTTTTCTCTAAGTACTTTATGGAAGAATAAGCAGAGATATAAATGACTGATTCCTATGCACACTTATTAATGTTGTGATAAATTATAAAATGAGAGCATATAAAGAGAACACTGAGAGAGATGAATGACCAACTCCACCTTATACGTTTTATTTTAACTTGTATCTTATAAATAATAAAAGGCCGATAAAACGAAGTGGCTTAAACGCTTGCCTAGGCATCAGGTGATTCGAAGTTTGAAGTCGCACTCCCTGACGAAGGGGTCAGATAATTTGTCCTCGCGCCTATGAAAGTCGTGAGTTCATTCCATGGCTGCGTCGTTAGGTTTACGAGTCAATTTTTACGGAGATTTCCGAGTATCGTCGCCTTACTCAGGAAGCTCGTGCTTTATGCGAAAGAGACCGGGCCATATGGAATAAAACCTAGTAAAATGAAGTCGATCTTGCTCAAAAAAAAAAAAAAAAAATATTATGCTTTGTTGTTGGATAAAACTTAAAATTGGTGTCAGAAAAATGATATCGTTTGAAGTTGACAAGTAGACACTATCACCCATCCAGTACCGAATGGTATCATTATCTAGTTCACGAATTATTGACAAATAAAACTGCGAATTACTGCCTTTATTTTATCACTGTCGCTGTGTAGGCAGGGAAGTCATGCGCCTGAGCATTTACGGCCCCTTTGCTAGTGCTGTCGCCACGACAGTGCAGGTGAGAATTTTATTTTGTCCTGATATAAAAAAAAATCCCTAGCCTTACCGAGGATTCGAACCTGGGTCTACCGCTTGAGAGCCCAGCGTCCTAGCCATTTAGCCAGCCGTCCTGGGCTTATTAAACAATGGAACCTAATACTGCTTTGTAGAACTACAGGCAACCAATAAATGATGAGTTTGGTAAGAGATGTGCGAGAATATAAAACTAGTCAGCTTAACATTACATGCACAAACAACGTGTGAACGTTGCGGTTAGAAAGCCTTCACCAGCATATGACATCACGCATGTATACATAGTTGAGTCCCTATCAACTATACCTATACACTTTTTTTTTTTTTTTTTCCGTATCCAGAAACCATGAGTTATAAACCCTTTGGCTCGGTACTATGGGTATCGCAACCCTTCAGCCTTGATTCCATTATAGGTACCGTTAATCTGGGGAAAATGTGGCTTTTCTGCCTACCCCCGGAAGTGAACCCGGACCACAAGGAGTTCGTCACCCGGCCGCCGCGAAAGTCAGGTTTAACCAACTTCGCTAGAGAGCCGGGCATACCTATACACAACACAGCCAGTGCACAGTATACACTCACTTAGACACAGTTGGTTCCCTATCAGTATTACCTATCCACGACAAGCAGCTAGTGCACTCTGAACTATACACATACAATAACACACATACTACACTTATTCACATATAGATAATGTTACTTTTACTAAGGCGACTACACAAAATCTCCTAACCGAGGTATCTTTTTTGTAATGGTGGCACTTTGTGTCACCAGCAATTTATTTCTCGTTGTACGGCCCTAGTGGCATTGAACTTATTCATTTAGGAGAATTATTTAATCTTGTTTCCCTTAAACTATATGATACATTATAACATGATATGTAATTTTAAATCTTTTTAGTAGATTAATTTGTGTATGCGCTATAAGTAAGATTATTTTATAATTAGTTAAATATATTTACAACATTTACTCATAATTCCTTTGTTTATTAATCGGAATAATTTTGATAAATGATAGGAGTATATTCCAATACAAAAACACATATCATCAACAATAAACGACACCAACTAATTACTTACCAATGATCCAATACGGTTTGTATACGTGTAACGTGCTGGTGACAGCCTGCAGAACAGCGGTGATTGTCAAAATGGCAAAACTCCAGTTGGAAGCGAACAGAAACCATCTCCAGCCATTCCCCTGATAGAATGTCGTCGCTTCGTAGGCTATGTCTGCGAGCATCCAGCCGAACAGGGCGACCCCTACCGTTGTTCGATAGATGACGTATATCCATGGTCTTCCAGGCCACTAGGATGCAGGGGAAAAAGAAAGCATAGCGATGTGTTACGTTCAACTCTGGTGATGTAATCTGCTTCACATACAAAGAACTCCTTTTGAAAGTCGGAGTGCATCTGCCCTAGAGGCAAGGAACCGACAATGTGCATAAAAACAAGCAAGGACTGTAAAACTATGTTCACGCAAAATTCAAGTTATGGAACAAGACCACAGTCCAGAAGTGGACGAACAACCAGAGTTGTCCACTACAGTTTACTGGCGGTGAACGAAAAGAAGAAGGAGGCAAAGAAGACAAAAGAACTCTTTATCAATTTGTGAGAAAAGGACATCATCATAAATTGGCTTTAGAAAAGCGGTTTTGTCATGGCCAGAAACATTTTCTGCGTCTTCTTTTCTCTAGAACCTGTTCTATCTTTCGGCGTCAGGTTTTGAGAAGGAATTTGGTGGGAACATTTGTGTGTCTGCTGCATAGATGATAGTTTTTAAGGTCTTGGATATTCATAGTTGTGTGGGCGATCTCTATGTCCCCCCCCCCCCCCCCCTTATGTTGGAGTCGACTTCAATACACCAAGAAAGATATGATGTGAGAGGAAGAGCGAGCCAGAGGACAAAAGGAATTGACAACCATAAAGACATTATAAAACCACGACATTGAGCTACAACCTGGTATCAGTGAGACGATAAAATACACGAAACTGGGCTACAACCTAGTATCGGTGAGACAACAAAACCACAAAACTGGGCTACAACCTGGTTTCGGTGAGACGACAAAACAACGACACTGGGCTACAACCTGGTATCAGTAAGACGACAAAACAACGACACTGGGCTACAACCTGGTTTCGGTGAGACGACAAAACAACGACACTGGGCTACAACCTGGTATCAGTGAGACGACAAAACCACAACACTGGGCTACAACCTGGTATCAGTGAGACGACAAAACCCTGACACTGAGCTACAACCTGGTATCAGTGAGACGACAAAACCACAACACTGGGCTACAACCTGGTATCAGTGAGACGACAAAACCACAACACTGGGCTACAATCTTATATCAGTGAGACGATAAAACCACAACACTGGGCTACAATCTTGTATCAGTGAGACGATAAAACCACGACACTGGGCTACAATCTTATATCAGTGAGACGATAAAACCATAACACTGGGCTACAATCTTGTATCAGTGAGACGATAAAACCACAACACTGGGATACAACCTGGTATCAGTGAGACGACAAAACAACGACACTGGGCTACAACCTGGTTTCGGTGAGACGACAAAACAACGACACTGGGCTACAACCTGGTATCAGTGAGACGACAAAACCACAACACTGGGATACAACCTGGTATCAGTGAGACGACAAAACCACAACACTGGGATACAACCTGGTATCAGTGAGACGACAAAACCACAACACTGGGATACAATCTTGTATCAGTGAGACGATAAAACCACGACACTGGGCTACAATCTTATATCAGTGAGACGATAAAACCACAACACTGGGCTACAACCTGGTATCAGTGAGACGACGAAACCACAACACTGGGCTACAATCTTATATCAGTGAGACGATAAAACCACAACAGTGGGCTACAATCTTATATCAGTGAGACGATCAAACCACGACACTGGGCTACAATCTTATATCAGTGAGACGACAAAACCACGACACTGGGCTACAATCTTATATCAGTGAGACGACAAAACCACGACACTGGGCTACAATCTTATTGCAGTGAGACGACAAAACCACGACACTGGGCTACAATCTTGTATCAGTGAGACGACAAAACCGCGACACTGGGCTACAATCTTTTATCAATGAGACGACAAAACCAGGACACTGGGCTACAATCTTATTGCAGTGAGACGACAAAACCGCGACACAGGGCTACAATCTTTTATCATGAGACGACAAAACCAGGACACTGGGCTACAATCTTGTATCAGTGAGACGACAAAACCGCGACACTGGGCTACAATCTTTTATCAATGAGACGACAAAACCAGGACACTGGGCTACAATCTTGTATCAGTGAGACGACAAAACCGCGACACTGGGCTACAATCTTTTATCAATGAGACGACAAAACCAGGACACTGGCTACAATCTTGTATCAGTGAGACGACAAAACCGCGACACTGGGCTACAATCTTTTATCAATGAGACGACAAAACCAGGACACTGGGCTACAATCTTGTATCAGTGAGACGACAAAACCGCGACACTGGGCTACAATCTCGTGTCTGTCTGTCTGTCTGTCTGATGTAAGACGGGCCTGCGTGCCCAATTTGGGACCCTTTGAAAATAAAGTTTGTTCCTTCGTTCATTCGTTCTGACTGACTGTCTGTCCGTCCGTTTCCGCCCTTTCGTTCGTTTGTCTATCAGTCTGTCTGTCTATCGTTTGGTATGTGTTTCTGCTTGATTATCATCACGTCTTTATGTTTCTTCTTTCGCTCTTTCGCTCTCTCTCTCTCTCTCTCTCTCTCTCTCTCTCTCTCTCTCTCTCTCTCTCTCTCTCTCTCTCTCTCTCTCTCTCATATTTTCCCACTCTCACATTTAATATGACAAGATTTAATTTTTTTTCTTCCTCTTTTTCAAACGATATGAATTTACAGCAATTGCTTTCCTTAATCGATGTGGTAGCCATTAGTTCGCTGCAAGTTTCGCAATCGCTCACCAGCTTTCAATTGTCCACCAATTAACTAAGTCCAACCGATCGATATCCTCAACGAAGTATACTTCTTCTTCTTCATCCATTCTTTTCTGTCTCAAGTTAAAGGTTTATTGCACAGGGTTTAATCCCATATGGCTCGGTCTCTCGGGCTAGCCCACTGCCGAACTCATCTGCTCTGTTTACGGTACAATAGGTATACCAAATTTACGCTTTTCACGCTAATGGTCTATAGATGTAAGATACCTCGAGTGCTAGAAGTTCCGGGTTCAATCTTTGTTGAGGGTTGGGATTTTTTTAACGTGGACTTGGACGTCTAGTAATTCGCCTGATCTCTGGGTAGTGAGATCGGACGCCCGTGTGCATTGTTGAGCACGTAAAAAATCCTTTGGCAGTTGGAAATCGAACAAAGAAGCCTAGCAGCGCTGGCCATGCAAAATTTGTAGTTTAAAATCTACCTAAAGTATTTCAGGATAGTCGCCGGTGCTACAGAGCCTGTGCACTGTGCTGAGCTTCTTCGGACTCAGACTTGAGTTAGAAGAAGAACGGAACACTAATGGGTTAGTACGCATGTACCATGTTCAAACTTCAAACTTCAAACAGACAAATGATGACATACTTTTTCTCCATCAACCACTCGGCACGTGGGATAATGTAGTCAATTCACGCCAGCCGTCTTTACTTCTCATAAACTATCCTTGTATGGTTCTTACGTAAGTAAGTAAATTAAAAACCAATCTGTACAAGATGGGTAATGTGGTCAGCATCACACCGGTCGCCTTTACTTTCCGGGACTGCACCTGGTACCCACTCAAGGCTGGGTCGACCTGGGAGCCAAGGTCATTTTTGATTTCACGTAAATAAGTAAAGGACCCTTTTCATGTTCTGGCACATCGGGCTCATAGCGCTAGTTCTAAACTACTATGGACCACGAGCACTAGATAGTGATGGAGTCATTCGTCATTTTGGGAATGATCAACTCTGAGCCATAGTCAGTGATGAAAACAAATCCGCTTCTATGCAGGTAGGAATCCTCGATCTTCTGTTCGACCTGCTAATGTCTAGCCGCCCCGCCATCAAGGATTGAAGAACCAAATCCGCTTGCGAAGGAAAAGATCTTTGTGTACTGGCAAAGAAGAGGAGGAAGATTAAGAAGTAGAAGGAGAAGAAGAAGATGAAGAAGAAGAAGAAGAAGAAGAAGAAGAAGAAGAAGAAGAAGAAGAAGAAGAAGAAGAGAAGAAGAAGAAGAAGAAGAAGAAGAAGAAAAAGAAGAAGAAAAAGAAGAAGAAGAGATGACGACGACGATGATGATGATTTTGATGACGACGATAAGCGGTAGGTGAAGATGAAAAAAAAAACAGAAGCAGCAGAAAAAGAGGGAGTGTGAAAAACGAAAAGGAAAAATATTTTAGAGAAAAAAATAATTTGAACTACAGGCCTCCTGCGATCCATAGTCTCCTAGTGAACCAGATTTCCTTGAGCCCAGTCTGGTCATGCTTAATACCATTATATCACAACCGCCCGGCTCTCTAGCGTAGTTGGCTAAACCGGATTGCGCGGAGACCGGGTGACGAACTCCTTGTGGTCCTGGTTCAATCCCGGGGGTAGGCAGGAAAGCCACATTTATCCCAGATTTAAGGTATTTACAATGGAATCAAGGCCGAAAGGTTGTGATATCCATAATACCGAGCCCAAGGGTTAACAACTCATGGCTTCTGGTTACTAAAACAAACAAACAAAACAAACATATCACAACCAGTTTCAGAGCGGACCATTTTTCTGACCAACCCCTAGCCAACAGTCGGGACTATAAAATAAAAAGCAATGACTGAATTTCCAATACAACTGCCATTTTGTCTGCTTGCCATCGAGTTGCCCTCACAGAATCAACCACGTGGACATAATTTGATCAATCATTTGGAACACCGATGCAATCTAGGCTGCATTCGCGAGTTTTACCGTCTGTCTATGCACGGCCTTCTCTATTTATATATACAGCTGGACCTGGTCTATGATATGTGTCTATGCTACTGTATCAGTCAATGCCAAGCTACTGGCCTGACGAAGATATTAGGCCCCCTTACCTTTTTTCTAAACTTTGTGGTGAACACTCCAAAGGCCAAAGCTTTGTTCTTAAGTGATAAAATAATAATAACAATAATAATAATAATAATAATAATAATAATAATAATAATATTAAAACTTTAAATGAAATTAGAGATAAGTGACCAGAGGGGACTATCATCACAGCACCCCGCACAGGTCCATAGGTGCTCTGATCTCCTCCTCAGTTATTCAACAAGTGTAAAACGACCTATCACCCC